ACTAAGGAAGAAAAATCACTTGCTCATATCAATGGATGCAGAAAAAGCATTTGATAAAATCCAACATTCATTCATGATAAAACTCTCAGTAAACTAGGAATAGTGGGAACTTCTTCAACTCGATAAACAATACCTACAAAAAGCTATGACTAACATACTTAATGGTGAGAAACCAGAACTTTCCCACTAAAATTAGGTACATGACAAGGGTGTCCCTTTTCACCACACCTTTTCAGCATCATACTGGAAGTTCTAGCTAATGCAATAAGACAACAACAGAAAGTAAAAAACATAACAGATTGAGAAGAAAGAAACAAAACTTTGCTCACAGATGACATGATCATCTATGTAGAAAATCTGAAAGGATTAACAAAGAAACTCTTGGAACTAATAAGCAATTATAGCAAGATTGCAGGATACAATATGCAAAAGTCAATCACTTTCCTGTATACCAGCAACGAACAAGTAGAATTTGAAATTTAAAACAATACCATAGGGGCCGGCCCGGTGGTGCAGTGGTTAAGTGTGCACATTCTGCTTCGGTGGCCTGGGGTTCACTGGTTTGGATCCCGGGTGCAGACATGGCACCTCTTGGCAAGCCATGCTGTAGCAGGCGTCCCACATATAAAGTGGATATACTTTTATATACACATATAAAGTGGAGGAAGATGGGCATGGATGTTAGCTCAGGGCCAGTCTTCCTCAGCAAAAGAGGGGGATTGGCAGCAGATGTTAGCTCAGGGCTAATCTTCCTCAAAAAAACCAAACCAAAACAAACAAAAAACCATACCATTTGCATTAGCATCCCCCCAAATGAAATGCTTATGTATAAATCTAACAAAATATGTACAATATCTACATGAGGAAAAATACAAAACTCTGGTGAATGAAATCAAAGAAGAACTAACTAAATAAAAAGATATTCCATGTTCATGGCTAAGAACACTCAATATGGCTAAGCTGTCAATTCTTCCCAACTTGATCTATAGGTTCCATCCAATCCCAACCAAACTTGCAGCAAATTATTTGTGGATATCAACAAACTGATTCTAACGTTTATGTGGAGAGGCAAAAGACCCAGAATAGCCAAGACAAGATTGAAGGAGAATAAAGTTGGAGTACTGACACTTCCCAATTTCAAAATTTGCAATAAAGCTACAGTAATCGAGACAATGTGATATTGGTGAAAGAATAGACCAATAGATCAATGGAAAGAATAGAGAGCCCAGAAATAGACTTATGTACACAGAGTCAACTAATTTCTGACAAAGGAGCAAAGGCAATACAATGAAGCAAAGATGGTCTTTTCAACAAACGGTGCTGTAACAACTAGACATCCACCTGCAGAAAATGAATCTAGACATAGACCTTATGCTCTTCACAAAAATTAACTCAAAATGCATCACAGACCTAAATGTAAAATGCAAAATCATAAAACTCCAAGAAGATAACATAGGAGAAAATCTAGATGACCTTGGATATGGCAGTAACTTATTAGATACAACACCAAAGGCATGATCCATGAAAGAAATAGTTGATAAACTGGACTTCATTAAAATTAAACCTTCTGCTCTGTGAAAGATAATGTCAAGACAATGACAAGCCACATACTAGGAGAAAATATTTGCAAAAGACATCTGATAAAAACTGTTATCCAAAATACACAAAGAACTCTTTAAAGCTCAACATTAAGAAAACAAACAACCTAATTAAGAAAGAGACAAAAGACCTTAACAGACACCTCACCAAAGAAGATATACAGATGGCAAACAAGCATATGAAAAGATGCTCCACATCACATGTCACTAGGGAGATGCAAATTAAAACAACAATGAGATATCAGTATACACCTATTAAAATAGGCAAAATCTGAAACACTGATATCACCAAATGTTGGTGCAGATGTGGAACAACGGGACTCTCATTCATTGCTTGTGGGAATGCAAAATGGTATAGCCACTTACAAAGACAGTTTGGTGGTCTCTTACAAAACTGAACATACTCTTATCATAAAATCCAGCAATTGGGCTCCTTAAAATCTACCCAACGGAGATGAAAACATATGTGTACACAAAAACAACCCTGCATGTGGATATTTATAGCAGCTTTGTTCATAATTGATAAAACTCAGAAGCAATCAATATGTTCTTCAGTAGGTGAATGGATAAATAAACTGTAGTCCATCCAGACAATGGAATGTTATTCAGCACTAAAAAGAAATGAGCTATCAAGCCATGAAAAGACTTGGAGGAAACTTAAATGTGTATTACTAAGTAAAAGAAGCCAATCTGGAAAAAAAAAAAAAAAAGACAATGTGATTCCAACTATATGACATTCTGGAGAAGGCAAAACTAGGGAGGGAGTGAAAAGACCAGTGGTTGCCAGGAGTTGGGGGAAGGGAGCAACAGGTGAAGCACAGAGCGTTTATCAGGGCAGTGAAAATACCTCGTATGACCCATAATGATGGATACATGTCATTATACGCTTGTCCACACCATAGAATGTAAAAACCCTAAGCGTGAACCCTAATGTAAACTATGGGCTTTGAGTGATTATGTTGTGTCAATGTAGGTTCCATCAATTGTAACAAATGTACCACTCTGTCCAGGATGTTGATATTGGGGGAGGATGTGCGTGTTGGGGGCAGGGGGTATATGGGAAATCTCTGTACCTTATCCTCAATTTTGCTGTCAACCTTAAAGTGCTCCAAAAGAATAAATTCAATAAAAATAATAATAAAAAAGCAAAGAAAATAAACTATGAAGTGAATAAAAGAGTTACCTGTAGCAAGGAAACAGTGAGAGGGGAGAGAGGATAGAAACTAGACTTCTTTGAATATATCTCTTTTTGTAGAGTTGATGTTGGAACCAGGTAAATATTTTACACAATAATAAAATAATATTACAGTTTTAAAAGCAATCCCTAAAAATATATAGAAGTAAAATGAACTAAATAAACCAGTGCATCTGGTGGGTGGCAAGAGCAAACAGATAGGAACTCTTCCAAATAACTTCAACTCCGTAATTTGACTGAACATCCCTCATGGGATTGACCCAAAGGTCGACAAAAAGGGCTACAAACAAACTTTGACCTGTTGTCAGTCATTATATCATCAGCTGTCATGTTGTAACAGTGATTCTGAGACATGTGTGTATAGTGTGGGATGAATTGAGTAAACATTTATGTTGGCATCATTGAGAACTAAGATTTTTCACTGCAGTTGAAGGGAGAGAAAGGTGTAAAATTAATGAGGTTAAGTAAAAAACAAACAAACAAAATCCGTAGACCTGAATTTGAATAGAAAGTATCAGTATGAACTCACGATGAATTTTATCTTAAAATAATTTTTTTCCAGTTCTGCCCTCTGAAAAGGCCTAGAAACAATGATTAATTCAATAGTCATGACACTCCTAGTGCCCAGATTGTGGTTATAAAAATAATTTCTCACTGAAAAGACCAGGGCTTTTTGGGAGAAATGGCGGATTACAGGTCAGGCTCAGAAAATGTGCAATAGGAACCTAAGAAGTTTCAGACTACTAAATTCATGTAAAAATGAAGGAGGCAATCTGAACAAGTCCCCCAGGGGCAAAAAATAGGATACTCTGAGCATCAGTAAGAAAGATGACAATGAATTGAAATACACCAAATAGGCTTAAATCCATGAGTTCACGATAGGACTTACAAAGAAATTATTAAGAATCTTTGAAGTATGCTCGAGGAGAACTATTAACTTGAAAACTTGTAAAGAAAGGGAAAGAATCAAGCATTCGTCATTCCCTTCTTATATAATACGAATCTCAGGGTAACCAAACAGTGCATTAAAGCAAGGTTCTGTTTATAGAAATAGACTAGCTAATAAACAAAGAAGGAATGATGGAATCAGAATGCTACTATTATGCAGCCCCCAGTTAGTTTAAGAATTGAGGAAATGCTTACCAATGGCCAACAACATCCTCAACTGAGACACGATTACACATTACACACTCTCTGCTAGAAGCAGCAGCACCACTCATGAAGTAGCCTCACCAAAAAGAAAAGTCTAACCCGAGCCTGGTGCAGACCGAATATCTAAGCACTGGTTTATAAGAAACAGAGGGAGAGAGAGAAACATGCTAAATGACACCACAGGAAGGCAAACGTTCCAGGCCAGGCATGGGGAATTTCCACAGGATAAATGACTAGCAGCAGAAAAAATGCAAGAGAATAATCCTGAGAAACATATCTACTGACTGTAATGTGTGTAAATAATTGGGTGCTGATTCAAACAACAAACTTGAAACAACTGAAAGGCAATTGGTGAAATGTGAACATTGATTGATGTTAAGGAATTATTATGATGATTATTTTAAGGGATGATAATTGTATTGAGGTATTTTTAGAAAGATTCCTTATATTTTAAAGATTCATATTAAAATATATATTTTAGAGATAAAAATAATGATGGGGTTAGGTATTTTTATTTCTAGTCAAAGGATCATTTTCACAGATCCCCCCCCCAAATTTCTTTCTTTTTTTTTTTTTTTTTGCTGAGGAAGATTTTCCCTGAGCTAATATCCTGTGCCAGTCTTCCTGTATTTTTTAGTGTGTGGGTCCCCAGCACAGTATGGCAGGTAACAGTGGGAACCAAACCCGGGCTGCGAGTGTGCCAAACTTAACCACTAGGCCACCAGGACTGGCCCCCCAAAATATTTTAAGCAATATTTTCCTCAGTGAATACTGAGTAACATTTATCATTAACAGGTGATTTTTAAAATATGTGTGTTGAAGTCTAATTGTATTACAAAAACCTTGGATTCCAAGGGAACCTGTTTTCAACTTATCTTGGAACAATCACCTTAGCCAGGGAAACTCTGCACAATAAGATCTAATAAATCAGAGAAAAATTTACAAAAAACATTATGTGTAGAGTCCTTACAGCCTCAAAATCGAGAATTTTCCTTAAGATAATGATAATTCAAAGAGATTGGGAAATCATTTCCATTTTCCCTGATTGGCCTTACCTGTCTCCCATTTGCTTGTAAACTTCCTTCTTTGCATATTTTCATTGGCCCGATAAGCCCAGTGAATATATCTTTGGTGGGATCCACAGCAGAATAATACATCTTAGATAGACAGACAGGGTCTTTGTAAGTGGGTCCCACTTCTTTGGGGACAGTCCATTCATAGGTGAATGTTTCTTTGGGTTCCACACGGGCTGAAGGAGGAGGCACACCTGTGAGAAAGGTCATATTGGAGAGATTAGCATGCTTTCTAATGTGGCCATTGAGCCACAAAGCAGACTGGGTTTAGTCTAGGTAACCCACTCCTGAGTTCTTTGTAATCAACTAGGATGTAATCCTACTTGTGCTCCTGTCTCAGGTCACAGACTATGAGGGCACAACAACAAATCTGAGAGCCAGAGAGGGCCGTCAGCCAGCCATGCCGACACTCTGATCTTGGACTTCCAGCCTCCAGAACTGTGAGAAATAAATTTCTATTGTTTATAAGCCACCCAGTCTGTGGTATTTAGTATAGCAGCCCGAATGGACTAAGACAGTCCCCTCTTTGCGCCCTCACAGCCCCTGAGAGTGTCTCTAGCACCGTTCACTTTACATTGTGCATATTTCCCCCTCAAACAGAACTTAACCTTATCGAAAGTGAGCATTGTTTCTATATTTCCACCAGTTGGAATAACACTTGGAAATAGGGGGTAATCAATAAATTTTCTATTGAATAAAACTGAACTGAAAATAATTTTAGAACTGAAAGGAACCTAGCAGATGATCCTGTTCAAATCTCCCAATATTATACTTGAGGAAACTGAAGCCAGAAAGATTGACTAACTTGCCCACAGTTATACTGGAAGGGTGGCAAAGCCACTAGTCTTCACTGGTCAGCCTTGACTTATAAAAATATCTAAATACGTCCACATAATGGAATATATTTTGTATCATTAAAATTATATTTATAAAATGCTTATAGTGCTAAGAAAACAACCTCTGGGTACAAAATTGTAACTAAAATTACATTTATACACTACTATCTCAACCACATATAAATGTGCACAGATGAAAGAGTGAAGGAATTATATAAAAATATAATAGTGGTTGTCTATAGAAACTATGGATAATATTTTCGGCTATACTTTTTAATATTTTTTGAATATTCTAAAATAAGCATCTAATCTTCTTATAACTGTGAGAACATTTTTCAGATTTAAAAATCACCCAAATAATACTCTAGAAATGTATAATTGATATAATCCAAATAAGTTACCACTAACGTTGTCAATCATCATCCAACAAAAGCAGGACAAAATTCCATAAATCAGTTGGAAATGGTAGGAGAAGAGGTTTGCTTGCTTCCTGGTGATGCCCGAGAATGATACACAAGCGGGTTCCTCGGAAGTTTCTGCCCTCAGTTTCGCAGGACAGTTTTCCCGGGGGGACCAGCACAGAGGGTCATTGGACACAGGTGTTTGGTTACAGAGTGCTGTACTTACTTCCTCTCGGATGCTTGTACTGTGACTCATAGTATGTGCCCTCGTTGCTCTTGCTGAACCTCACTCCGATTGGCTCAATACTGAGGGGATGTGCTCCTTTGTTATGGAAGGTGACTCTGATGGTGTCTCCCACCTCTGCCCAAATGACAGGACCTAGGGACAAAGAGACAATTATTATTCTCCTGTAGAAGAGGAAGACATTTCCTCTACCTGTTCTGGGTCCTTCTGGCCGGACATCAAATTAAATTCCCGTAAGACAGAATAACAGGAGAAAATTAAACAAAGCTTTATAACATGTATACATGGGAGAGGCTCAGGAAAACTGAGAAACTCGCCAAAATGGAGGAAGCTCTCCCCTTAAATACCACCCTCAGCTAAGGCAAAGGAGGATGTTGGGGGTGGGGGGAGTCATTTATGGGAGATTACCAGAAAAGCACAGTAAACAGGGTAAGGTTATTATGCAGCAATGATAAGAGTTTCTAGAGATAAGTTCATCCCCTCTTCCTCTCGGTACAGAGGTTGAGACACCTTTACAGATGGATATCTCCTTTGCAAATGTAAATGTCTCTTATCAAAGGGTAAGTAAATTCTACTTTTCAGAGTTTCTTTCCTGTCTGCAGTTTTTAAAAGTAACCAGCCCAAAATAATCCTCATGCCAAAGAGACATATCTTGGGGGGGCCAATTCCAGTCCCCCACATTCCCTTGGTATGTAGCATGAAGAATTCACAAGACACTTGTTTCTTTGGCTTGTCCTTTGGCAAGAACCACTGGGAGCAACATGCTTATGTGTGGCAGTTGGAAAGCTTGACTTTTTAAAAAGTCATTATCAGTTTGACATGGCGAGGCTGGAAGAGATGAGCAGGGCTTTTGATTCAGCTTCAGGTTAATGAAATTTACCATTTGTACCCAAGTCAGTTCACAAGCTTTCTACATCTACAAAGAACTATTTCGGGGGTCTACAACACTCTCCTCACCTAGCCTTCTGTTGGCTACACAATGTTATTTGTCCCAAGAGTCAGGGGGTGCTATGAACCTTGACCACCCAAAGGGGATAGGTAAGTTAAATTGTCTTGGATGTGAAGAGTAACACTGCTGTGGATTTTTCATCACCAAAATTAATATTATTACCAAATATAGAATAAAAACATAGATATATAGTACATAGATATTTTCTACAATACATAAAATGGTGTTTATTGAGAGCTTCCTACGTGCTCTTCTGAGTGTTTATGTGTATTAACTCATTTAATCCTTACAACTGTATGAAGCAAGGACTGTTTTATCGTTCCCATTTTATAGAAAGGGAATAGGCGCAGAAAGTGGAGCCCTTTCGAAGGTCACACAGTTAACAGGCGAAGAGCGAGGACGGTCTGCATCCACCCACGTGCTATTCTGCCCAAGCGCCTGAGCAAGAAGGGGTCTCCGGGCTTTGCCTGAGGGCAGTCTGCAAAAGGCTCCCAGACGGACCCTGCCTGTCTCCGGAGTGGCCTGGACTTTATTTCTAAGGGAACGTAACTTCAGCTAAGAGCAGAGGCTAACAGCTTCGTTGTCTGTCTAAACAAAGTCACATAAACACACAATTCCCCTTATCTCTTTGAGGGAAAAAAAATCATCCTTTGAAGTCAGCATGGCCTTTAACGATGAAGGCTTACTATCAGTAATTTACATTCGGAAAAGTAATCAGCTGCTGTACTTTGTTGATTGATCTTCCCCGACCCTGGTTTATATGTAGGAATCACACTGCGGGTTCGGAAGTTTCTGTTCTTTCTGAGGTTGGTGTAGCCCCAGCGGGAGTACAGTAGTTGTATATATTCTACACGGACTCACCCAGGATGCCAAGATGTTCCTCCTCAGGGCCTCTCTCCTTTCGATTCCTGAAGGAGGCATCTGTGTACTCACGATAAACCAGCTTTTTGTAAGAGCCTCCAATTCTTGTAGCACCTTGTTCAAAAAACACCTCTGAATCACTGCCAAAAGAAGAGGTGGCAGTGAAAGCAGGTATTCACGTAGGATGCCAATCGAAGAGAGCGATTCTGGCCAGTGCTCACAGAATTCTACCCATGATTTACCAATCCTCACACAGAAGCAGGAAGTACGGGCCCTTCACTTTCCAGCATGATGGTCGGGGAAGGAGCAGAGAATTCTGAGGAGAGGTTGCGCTTTTTCAAGAGAAGTGGAAAAATTTCAAGAGGGCCTGTGTCAACCCAACAGTTAGTAAATTGTTCCCCAATAGAATCTTTTTAACAAACTGTGAACTATTTAAAAATACAGCGGCTACTGTTTATTGTGTATTAGCACCAGCCAGTTGCTCAGGAACTGTCGTTTATTATTCAAAACTCACGTGACAATGCAACAAAGTTGGTATTATTCTCCCCATTTGACAAATGAAGAAATAAAATCTCAGAAAGGCACTCGACTTGCTAAGCCCACCCCATTCACTTCTTCTTCCATTTGACAAGTGTATTGAACACCTGGTCTTTGCCAGGAACCCTGCTTTGTGCTGATGACATAACCATAAGCAAGCTGGAGCAAGCTGGAGCTGTCCCTCCAGTCAGTCAGAGAAGACAGACTACGAACCGATCAAAATAATAACCTGTAATAAGCACAGGGTGTTATGGAGCATTTCTCCTGGGGTTCGGGGAAGATTTAAGCTTTCAGGATTAGTGTTTTCTCAGGATCTCTCAGGCGGCTGCCCGGAGAATGTGTTGGACTCTGCAAGACTGCAGTAGGGAGCCCAGTCAGGAGGCTGCTTTTAAAATCTCAGGGAGAGGCGGTGATGACTTCGGAAGAATTGGGAAAGAGGATGGAGAGAAGTAAACAACTTTCAGAGATATTTAGGACACAATGAGGCAGAACTTGAGGAGAGAAGGAGGGACTGGTGAAGGAGGAAGGGAGGAAGGGGTCAGGGATGGTGCTCAGGCTTTGGGCTTGATCGATGGGTGGATGGTGATCCATTCACAGAGAGGAGGAAACTCAGATCTGTGGGGAAGACAATGGGTTCAGATTTGGACACATTGATTTGGAGGGGCTTCATCCAAGTGTGACGTCCATTAAGCAGTCTGAAGTGCAAATCAGCAATTTATAAGAGCCTTCTGGGCTGGAGATACAGCTTTGGGTGTCATTGCATCCAGATGTCAGTGTAGCGTGGGACTTAAATCTCTGCTTCAGGAGTCACAGATGGGGTAGAGCCAGGCTCAGCTATTGACCTGTTGTGCGTCGTTAAGTAAATTACTCAACCTTTCCAAGTAGATAGGTGGCAAACAAGGCTTCTCTGAGGAGGTGATGTTTGAGCAGTGACTTGGAGCAGGAGTGTGGCATAATTTCACTGACACTTGGGAGTGAGAGATCATTTTAGCTGCTTTAAGGAGAGCGGAGAGTAGGAAAGGGAAACTGAGGAAGGAAGAAGAGCTGGGAGGCTGTGGAAGTCATCAGACATGTACAAAGAGTAGTTTGTATGCATCAGAGGACACTATCAAGAGAGTGAAAAGAAAACCCACAAAATGGGAGAAAATATTTGCAAAGAAGCATATATCTGACAAGGGATTAATATCCAGAATATATAAAGAACTCCTATAACTTAGCAAAAAAAGAAACAACCCAATTCAAAAATGGCAAAGAATTTGAGTGGAGATTTCTCCAAATGGCCAACAACCAAGTGAAAAGATGCTCAACATCACTAACCACCCGGGAAATGCAAATCACAACCACAATGAGATACCACTTCACATCTATTAAGATGACTATTATCAAAAAAATTGAAAATAAATGTGGGCAAGAAATCCACCTTGAACATTGCTGGTGGGAATGTAAAATGGTGTGGCTGATGTGGAAAACAGTATGGAGGTTGCTCAAAATGTTAAAAGTGTAATTATCGTATGACTGAGCAATTCATCTCCCAGGTGTATACCCAAAAGAATTGAAAGCAGGGACCTAAACAGATGCTCATACTCCAATGTTCATGGCAGCATTATTCGCAACAGCCAAAAGGTAGAAACAACCCAATATTCATCAACAGATAGATGGATAAATAAAATGTGGTGTATGTGTACAATGGAATATTATTCAGCCTTAAAGAGGAATGAAATTCTGATACATGCTACAACATGGATAAACCTTAAAAACATTATACTAGGTGAAATAAGCCAGACAAAAAAGAACAAATATTGCATGATTCCATTTGTATGAGGTGCCTAGAATAGGCAAAGTCACAGAGACAGAAAATCAAGGAATTGGAAGTTATTATTTAATGGATACAGAGATTTTATTTGGAATGATGAAAAAGTCCTGGAAGTGGACAGTGTTGATGATTGTACAACCTTGTGAATGTACTTAAAGCTGCTGGATTGTACAACGCTACGTTTTCAGAAATGGAAGGCAAATGACTTGATCTGTCTTATTATATTGAGTGTTTTCTGAGGACTTTGTTGAGCATTTGATCACTTTTAAACCCATCCTTTTTCATGGACTCAAAGGTCATATTTCTCAAACTCAGACTCATACCAAACACCTTAATAAATATTTAACAGTCTAGTTACTTAATTTCAGCTACCAATTAAAATTGTAATTTCTGAATGAGCCTTTTATGAGTCTTTTTTTAGGGGGAGGCATATTTTGAAACAATAGTCTTTTTTCTGAATTACCTTCCAGGTGCCGTTAAGTTTTCCTTGGTGAAGGTGTCTATGCCAGAGGGTGCGTAATCCCAGATGATCTCCTCAGCAGCAATGTAGTAGTGTCTAACATGTTTCCCACGGATATCGTCCTCTGATGAAGGCTTGTTACAGTCTTGCACCTGGAAAAAGGCCTGTAAACCAGCTGAAAAACACACAGAAGGAGACATTGGTTAATGGAGCCAATGTTTCTCCTCTCCTATTGCCTTGTAAACACTACTGGTGAAATGACAGATGGAAACTGAAGAAATAGAAAGCTAGAAACAACATTACAAACTGGAATAGACAGTTGTAAATAAATTATTGATGGAAAATTCAAGCAGTTTAAAAAAAGAACTTCTCGGGCCCACCCCATGGCCAGGTGGTTAAAGTTCCTCACGCTCTGCTTGGGTGGCCTGAGTTCACGGGTTGGGATCCAAGTGTGGACATACTCCACTCATCAGCCACGCTGTGGAGGCATCCCACATACAAAACAGAGGAAGATTGGCACAGATGTTGGCTCAGGGCTAATCTTCCTCAAGCAGAAAAGAAAAAGAGAGAGAGAGAAAGATTGGTAATGGATATTAGCTCAGGGCAAATCTTCCTCACCAAAAAAACCAAGAAAATGTCTCTATATGGCACAGAGAAGAGATATTGAATACTAGGGTTTTCAAAAATATGGGACCTCTTTCTATGGGGTTTCATTTGGAAGTCTTTTGATGAGAAAAAAAGGACACACTAATAGACCAGTGATGAATCAAGGCTTTGCCATGTTTTAAAGGACAGGGTGGGCAGAGGAGGAGGAGTAGAATGAGCAAGTGGGACAGTTGTTCTCTCAGACAAAGTGGGTGTGCACCCGCTGTGCTGGGCCTTCTGTGGCCGAGGTCACATTCAATAGGCGCGATTATGTTTGAGGATCAAAGTAAAACACCCTAAGATCCAGACTAGACCTAATTTCTTCAGGAGACCAATATTGCAAACTAATATTTTTGAAGAACTAGAAATGTTTTATTGCCTTATATTAAAGAGACTTGGAGAGATTTAGCAAGTTAAACCGTGGCATAGCTGGACTCAAATAAACAACAAAGTTGGCTATATTTGATGGAACCAAGTCAAAAAACAAGGTACTTTTCAGCACAATATACAAATCATCTGGTGTTCACAATATTGTGTGTTTTACGAAGCTGACAAACTGTATATAGTACTATACTTTTAGAGCAGGACTATACATTCAGGGCCAATTGTTCTTTTTCCAAAAATTAATGTATTTTCATGTTTCATTACTTTATTAATGTTCCAGTCTTCTTTATTACATTATGATGCATCCCATCATAGGAATAAAATTAAATTACCAGTTTAAAGCTCAGATCATTCCAGAGACATTGAGCTTTAGATTCTGATTCCCAATATTCACCTCATTGACAGAGTCGCTGAGACATGCCTCTTTTTTCAGCAGACACCTAATTCCAGGTAAAGATGCCTTACCTTTCAGATGGTTCAGATTCTGACAGCTAAGCATCCACTCTCCAGGGTTCTGGGCCACCATAAAAGCCTCAAAGAGGGTAGCAGGAAAGAGGTTGATTGTATCAATACGGTAGTTCTTATTAGTCAACGTTTGCCCGTGGAAGAAAGCTGCGTGCACGTCAACTTCGTTACCCATACCAAAAAGATACCATTTCACTCTGTCCTCTGCACACATGGAGAGTCCTGGGAGACTTCCAAAAGCGTGTCCATTCACAGCTGTGGATCAAGAGCAGAGCTTGTGACTAGCAGGCATTGGTGCCTGGGATAGTGATAGTTACCTCTACAGAAATAGGATCAATTGGGATGGAAAATACCTGGCACACATGCTGCCATTCCTCCCTCCTGTACCCACATCAGACATTGCTAATCAATCACAGCGCTCTTTCATTTTGGACCTGAATTTAGCCTTGAGATTAACAGATGAACACAATACTGAGGATAAAACCTATTTTTTCTCTTTGTTGTAAACTATACACATTGGTGTGTGTGTATTTGGAAACACAAGTGTGTGCATATATACATATGTGTATACAAAATGTACACACATATAATGAATTGAAAAAAGACTGACGTTAATTTAGAAATCAAATTAATCATGTTGGCAGTGGTAGTATGATGATTTCAATGTTTTATTTTTGCTTATCAGAACTTTTCCAATTTTCTACGATGAATATGAATTGCTTTTGTAATAAGAACACAAAGAAAGTTTTGTTTTGTTTTTTTAAAGACTGGAAGACAAAATCGGAAGAGATATGAAGGAGGAAAGAAGAGACGCAGGGGAAGGGAAGAACCAGTGACCAGATCCATAAAGACCTAAATGTTCAAAAGCAGGGTGGCCTGAGACCCTTCGAAGGAACTTGGGGTCACTGTTCAAACTGGGTGGTCCTAGAGGGGAGGTGGAAATCTCTTCCGGAAGGCGCCAGGAATGCACCAGATGCAACAGAGGTACCAAAGCAGACCTATCCGGACTAGAAGTGTGAGTGTCTTTTTCTAACATCTGTTTTTGTTAGCACATCGCAAAGGCAGGATGAAAGTATGGAAAGAGGACCTTCCAGCCAGAAATAAGCAAAAGTTGGAAATAAAAATCTGCATTTGTTAATTAGTTTATTTATCTGCTTGGGTAGTACAGTTATTTTTGTATTCTCAGTTTCCGAGTAAAGATTATTTTTAAGAAGTGGAACACAAACAAACAAAAATCTATATTTATTGATCTAGTTGGTGTTAAGGGATTTGATTTCTTATGCAAATTTTGAGTGATAGAAAATTTTACTAAGCTCATTATTTTGTGTCTGAGAATTAAGGAGAAGCCCAGGCAGTGGAGAAAGCATTTCTAGAACAAATAAAGTGAACTAAAATATAGAAAAAAATGATGCAGAGCGGAGAGGGACAACGTACATGAAAAAGAAACACCTTTTCAGATTAGAGGTTTGAATCAATTTCCTAAATACAGTTTGATGCTCTACCATAGTATAAATTTAAGCATTTAGTTTAACAATTTTAGGCTGCTTCAAATAATTTTTAGAATGACCTTGGAGGATAATTAAATATATAAATGTAACATGCATATGCATTAAGCCATAATTGATGTTTTGTCTTTATCAGTTTGGAAACAATTTGGTGTATCTGGCTTTACCCGGCTGAGAGTTTCGATTTGGCTTGTTTAGCTGAGTAAGAAGTTGCATATCCAATATGCTTTGTTATAAGGACCACAGATTAGAAACACACCGTTTACTCATGTGAGGGAATAAACCCAGCAGAATTAATGGGTCGAGAAAATAAGATAAAGTTAACACATCTTCTGTAATCTTACAATACATTCGATTGCTCTCCAGAAAGTCTTCGTTCTCTTTGTCAACTTTCTCTGGTTGCGAGCAGTAGGTGTTAATGTTGTCATCTAGGTACCAGCTGAGATTTTCATCCACCACAGAAAACATCACCACAAATTCTTGGTCAATATTTTTTTCTTTTTCTTTATCCAGAGAATCTGAAATGAAAATTACTATTTTAGTAGAACTTAATCTTTTTTTAGAAGCTTTTTTTTTTAAAGATTGGCACCTGTGCTAACATCTGTTGCCAATCTTTCTTCTTCTTCTCCCCAAAGCACCCCCTGTCCATAGTTGTGTATCCTAGTTGTGAGTGCCTCTGCTGTGCTATGTGGGACGCCACCTCAGCATGGCCTGACAAGCGGTGCCATGTCTGCACCCAGGATCTGAACTGGTGAAGCCCTGGGCTGCCAAAGTGGAGTACACGAGCTTAACCAGTGGGCCACAGGGCCGGCCCCAGTACTTAACCTTTAGCAGGTATTTTAGCATGTGATTTATAGTTTTTAAAACTTTTAGTATTTATTTTCCTAATAAACCACAAATCTGGACTAGTCACTCCTGTTTTACAGATGTGGAAACACTTAAGAAATTTTATGTTCAGTATCCAGGGCTTGGAGGACACTCATATATATGCTGATGTCCACTGATCACATAACTATTAAATGCTTTTTAAAAAATATTGGCTCCTGGGGCCAGTCTCCTGGTGGAGTGGTTAAGTTCGCACGTTCTGCTTTGGCAGCCCAGGGTTTCGCCAGTTTGAATCCTGGGCACGGACATGGCACCACTCATCAAGCCGTGCTGAGGCGACGTCCCACATGCCACAACTAGAATGACTGACAAGTAAAAGAAAATTCACAACTATGTACTGGGGGGATTTGGGGAGAGAAAGGAAAAATAAAATCTCTAAAAAAACAAAAAAACAAAAAAAATAAAAATATTGGCTCCCGATCTAACACCTGTTGCCAATCTTCCTTTCTTTTCTTCTTCTTCTCCCCAAAGCCCCCCAGTGTATAGCTGCATATTCTAGTTGTAGGTCCTTCTAGTTCTGCTATGTGGGATGCGGCTTCAGCATGGCTTGATGAGCGGTGCCATGTCCATGCCCAGGATCCAAACCTGCAAAACCCTGGGCTGGCAAAGTGCAGTGTGCAAACTTAATCACTCACCCACGGGGCTGGCCCCACATTAAATGCTTTTTGGCAAATGAGAAGGTTAGAATTCAAAGTTGTGTATACATCTTCTGGTGTAAGCCACGAGCTGAGACAATATGTCTTTGCAGGTAACTAATTACTGTTCGAGTAAGAATTAGATTTCAAGCTCCTGACCTATGTTGTCTTTTTCATGATGTTAGAAATAGATATTATATATCCCAACACAAAACAAATAACTACAGATCTATCACCCTGGTGGCCACTAAGGAAGTCACACTTCTCTTCAACGCCACTCTTGGAAGTTAGATACAGCGAGCCTGTCCCCAAGGAGAGCGTATTTCTTGCAGTTTAGTGATGTATATAAATACTTGTTCCATTTGTCCCTTCTTCTCCTTATCCTGTGCTGCTCTTCTTTTCTTTTTTCCTTGTCCCACTACCTCTCTACCTTACCTACTTAATCATAACACGGAAGACTTGACATATTTAAAAAACAAACTGCCCTATATCTTGTCTTTTGGTTATATATTGTGAGTAACAATGAGAAAATGTACCTTTTTTACAGACTATTAAAGGTCCGATGAGTCCTGAGGCAATATCTTTTGGAGCATCAATGTGGGAGTGGTAAATCCTTGTCACACAGTTGGCATCTTCCACACCAGGACTTTGTTCTTGGCTGGCATGCATTACATATGTATACTGCTCACCTGGATACACTTTGTCATCTGCTTTTTGAAAATCTGTGGTGTTATCAGGGTAGATGGCCCCTAGGAGGCAACATGCAATGAAATTACAAATTGGATATGTTTGAACTTAAATGAGAGAATAGATGGTTAATTTATTCAGCAAACATTTATTCAACATCTAGTATGTGCCATCTTGGGGATGCAGTGATTTCCTATTTGAACACAAAGGCTAATGGTTGGGGGTCTGGAAGCTTCACAGGAGATTTTGTTATTATTTTTTATATTTGACTGAGTCTTCAGGGAGCAGTAATAGGTAGGTCAGGAGAATAGCAACTTTCGGTTTGCAATTTAGAACACCACTTTTGCCCTAGGGGCATGATATGGAAGCATGAGCAAAATGGCCAACCTCTCCCATAATTTGAAATTTCTTATATCAGATTTTTGCCCAGGAAGTAATCATGGACTTTTACAATTTTTTACTTTTAATTTTGGAAATTTCCAAACATATGCAAAAGTTGAGAGACTAATATGATGAACCTCCATGTACCCATCAACCCAGCATTAACAATGATCAACTCAAGGCCAATCTTGTTTCATTGACACCCACTCTCACCCACTCCCGTCCCCATCGACTTATTCTAAAGCAAATCACAGACAACATATCAGGTATTCACAAATACTTGAGTATGTATCTCTGAAAGATAAGAACTCTGTTTTTCTTTTAACATAACCACAATACAGTTATCATTAGATAATTAAAAATGATTAATATCCTAATATATCATGAAATTGTAAAAAAGAAATGAGATGGACATCAGCCTTTATGCTATGAATGTAATTGTTTGGTTCAGAAAAACAATCTAAAAATATATGGTCAAAACATTCACCTTCTAAAGCAATACTTTGTTAAAAAAGAAGACTAATAATTAATCGAGTCTAATTTTATCTTAATTTCCAGAGTTGATCCTTATGATTTCAATGAACTATAGCATGGCCCCAGCATTTTTGCTTATGATAATAGCTGACATTTATTGAGCTATTACTATGTAGTCTCATTGTCCCTATTTTATAAACGAGGAGACTGAAGTGCAGAGAATTTAAATAACTTGCCCAAGGTCATTCTGCTAGTAAAAGGCAAGGCTGTCCTTGAACCTTGGTCTGTTAATTTCGAAGCCCTTGCTCTTAACCACAACAGAACCCCGCCTCTTTTCATTATCATCATGAAATCCTAAGAATGAGACCACAGGCAGCAAACCTGCTCTTCGTTCTTCTTGTACCATCTTTAAGGCTTCCAACTCCTACATTCAAATGACCCTTTTAGTTAACTGTCTTAGATGAATTGACTCCGGGGTCATGCGCACCTTTTGGCTGATGTGTGAGACTACAAAGCTGCTCAGCTGGGACAGTTCATCCAAAGCTAGGGTGGGAGGTGACAGTGGCCACGGTATGTTCACATGTAGGAACTTCGGAGATAAGACAATCCCTGTCTTGAATCCTTTCTTTTCCCTTTGAATTTTTCCTCTTCTAGGCCTTAATGCACGTTGCCTATTTCTCTTATTCTGACTATTTGGCTGGAAAAGAGTTGGGCCCTGGGAGGGAAGTCCCAGCTCTCACTGACTCTCTCTATGCGAGTCCACCCAGAAATCCCAGAAACCCCATTCACACTGCACACAAGCGAGCAGAACAAAGAGAAACACTGCATTATTACGATGAACCAAAACACCTATTAGTAAAATAGTGTAGAGCTAAACAGCATAGTTACAGGTCTTATCCAGGAGGGGAGACCATAATCTTAGAGGTTAAAAAGTGCTCTCACTGAAAAGTAAGGAAACTCCAGCTAGAATATGAGCTGAACTTACCCTCATGCTCCTTATAGTAAGTTACTCCATGTGGATGAAAAGTGTAGGGCCTAGAGGCAAAGTTTTTTAAGTGTACATGAACTTCATCTCCAATTTCAGCTTTGATAACGGGGCCTAAAAACCCCAGCCAGACAGGCTTTTCTAGAATTGTTGTAAAGCTTCCATCTGTGTACTGATGATAAAGGGCCTTCTTGTATAACCTTCCAATTCTATCGGGGCCATTTTGAAGATAGATGTCAGAATGTTCCCTGAAAAGCAAAAAAGACAACTCTATCAGAAGCCATCATTTCTAGGAATAACATTATAATTAAAGAAAAATTAATGACCATATCACGTTAAATGTTTGCCTATTGTTACAGGATGCCTCCAAAAAATGAAGATGAGAACTGGCTCTTAACCCTGCTATTTTAATTAAGGGAGATGTCCCACATCAGGTATGTGGCAGAGAACTATCTGTGAATGTGCCATAAAAATATGATGTATCTTACCAGAGTATTTCCTACATGATTTTCCTATTAAAATAGAGAGGCGTTATAGGATAGAATATAAAATAAAAGGGAAATATTATGTAAAGCAGTTGAGACATTACTCACTTATGATGTCATTCTTTCAGCTACCGTAAAAATTTGAATTTATAAACAATCTGGATATTTGAAACTTCAAAGCATGTGTGTATATATATTTCCTAAATAAAGTAAAATTAATGATGCTAAATTAATTCTATCATTTTTATTTTTTCAGCAGCGTTAAATCAAGGTTGGAAGTTAGGCATGCAATGTGTGTGGGTTTTAAAATTACCTTTGAATTCAAATTACCCCCGTGTTCTTTTAATCCCTTGCTGCCAAAAATACTTGAACATTGAATGTTTATATTCTGGTCAGTGGCTGATTAATAGTTGCTCAAAACTTTTCTAGAAATATCAGCAAATTGTAGCCAGAAAGAAAAAAGAAAGAAAGAGAGTTTGGTATTCAAACTTCTGAACTGATTCTTATGTTGTTGTCCTTAACAGAAGGCTCTGGAGAGCTCGTGGGATCCATTTGGAGGCAATGCCATCCAGCCATTTAGGAGGACCCACCTAAAACCTGGACTTTGCCAAACCTGCACAGCCGAGGTCTCTTTCACCAGACGAAAGACTGCTAACACTCAGGCTGATGATCTGGGTGTGTGTGTGTGTGTGTGTGTTGCCCACTTTCATCTCAGTGACCTTTGATGCTTTACCATTTTCCACTCACCCCTGTGGGGCCGGCTAACCTGATGGAGGAATACACTTTGTCTTTTTGCCTCAGCTGTGAGCCCATAGGAAAGAGTGAGAGAGATTTTCCCTTCCTTTCTGCAAGACAAGAGTAGGTCTTGTCTGCAGCTCTGGATTGATTTTCACTGCTGCAGAGTTTAAGGGCCTGGTTTTTAAAAGATTTGGGGCTCGAGCCTAATGCTTCTTAAGCTCTAATGTGCATGGGAATCTACTGAGGACCTTGATGAAATGCAAGTTCCTGGGCCCCTGCCCCACTGATTCTGATTCTGTGCATCTGGTGTGGGGCCCAGGCACCTGCATTTACTAACAAACACCCCTCCGCTCTGGGCTCGTGGGTAACCTGAGTGGGGTAGGCTCTGAGGTGAAGGGGAGGAGAGCTGCCCAATCCCAGAGGCAGTGGGAGTCCTTGAGTCCGTGAAACAGAAAGGTGGCAGTTTCTGTTTCCAGTCCATGCCCTGGTAGTAACCAGACTTCTGCTGGTGTGGTTGCATGGGGACATCAGAGTAACCTGAGCACTGGGACCAGTGGGTATGGCCGCTTGGCAGTGGTCCTGGTGGCTGTGTTTGGGCAGTGGGAGCAGGTGTTGGAGATAACAGAGCCTCCATGTTCTGGACTGACGAGGGGGCATGGACAATGAGCATCTCAGAGTTGTCACCCTATTCTGAGGGCCTTGATTTTCCCAGATTGTGTAAACCCCAAGATTGTCAAATTGTTCACTGACAAATGAATGAGCTGGGGTCCCCACCCCCTATCCTGGTGTGAAGAGAGTCAAGCTGGAAGTTAGAAGAATAAAGAAACGGCATCTTGTATAACTGGAGTGGAGTGGCAAATCTATGCTTATGCCTTCATTGCTCCTATTTGTCTTCATTTCCTAATTGTTGCAGTTTCCATTTTGTTAGAACAAAACAGAAAGAAGAAATTCAGGAAGGCTCCAAGAGACTTCAAGGACATCAAAATGCACGGACAAAACAGCCGGACAGGGGTATGAATACTTCCCCCGAAACCTCAGCATTCTCATGGACAGGAGTAGTCTTAGACGTTTTATGAACAGCAAAATCCCAAGGCACTGAAGCCGCTGAGATTAAAGGTAGAATCCTCCAGTCCACACAGTGAGAGGAGGTCAGCGAGAGCACAGCTTCAGTCAGAGCACACTGAGGCGGGGCAAAGCTCCGTGTGCAGCGACGGACTCCTCTCCGCTGCCACCAGGAGAGCCCGGACCACTGAATCGCCCACAGGCCCAGCTAAGCCCGGGGATAAACTTTCTCCAGGGTCTGCATGCACTCCTGTTGCGAGGAGCCTGGTCCCCACGATATTTAAATAGAGACTCTAATCTGTGTTCTATCATGCCCTGATGCACATCTTACATAAGGCCAAAGTTTAAAAATAGCCCTCAAATTCTTAAGGCCTCATTTAAATACAGTGTGTATTTATGTTTTCTGAATGTGACTCTAAGGCACTTAGGATATGTCATATCTCGTTTCAATAAACCTCGGTGGGCTTTGTCCAAATGCTTTCATTGCGTTGACATTCTCCTGAATTAATCATTTCCTGGAATAGGAGGAGCCTGGCCTAAGATTTGGGATTCATTTTTTATATACAAAGATGTTTAGGGGGGGTAAAAATTACTTTTAAAATAATTGATCTGAAGTTATAATATATTCAGGGTTTTTAACATTTGAAATTCCTATTATATACATAGCAATATACAAATATGTTTCCCGTCTTCTCTTTTTTTTGGGAAACAAAACTGTCTTCACCAAATTGGGAAATATTTCACACCATGTGATCCTTGTGGGGGAGTCTATTTGCTCATGTTCTGTCTTCAGAGGAACATCAAAGGGTCATTAGGGGATGTTTATTTAATTTCAGGAGCACAGCTTGGGGACAAAGGTTCAGTTACTGAAAGCATGCAGGAAGCTTGCCAGACACATATTCAGTCTAAAGAATCTATTATAGTTGTTCTTTGAACCAAACAAATAATTCATATTAATTGTAGTTCTTCCTGTTGACAACTGTAACGTGCTCTTTTCTGCTCGTTAAAATAGATATATCCCTTTCTTAGTAATCACATCCCTCTTTTTTAGCCCCCCAATTCCTATAATCCTATAGCCAATTCCTAGAATTTCTGGTAGATTCAGACCCAGAAGTGAGTTTTCAATGGTAGGGAAATTTTAAAAAATTTTATACTGACTTAGTAAGATAATAATAATGCTACTCTCGCCCATAAATTCAGAATGCACTCAAGTGGTCTTGGTTTCTGTTTAAAAATGGTTACTAAAATGTGGGTAATATACATGGAAAGTATCCGGATTCTTGGCTTCATTAATTGAGACAGTATCTTAGTTTACTATGGCAGCATAACAAATTATCACATAGCAGCTTAAAATAATACCCATTTATTATTTCACAGTTCTACGGGTCGGAAGTCTGGCACAGCAAGACAGGGTTCTCTCCTCAGGTTATCACAAGGCTGCCATCAAGGTGTTGACGGATCTGAGTACCTGTCTGCAGGCTCAGTGGAAAAATCCACTTCCAAGTTTACTCAGGTTATGGGCAGAATCCAGTTCCCTGTGGTTGTAGGATTGAAATCCCTGTTTCCTGCTGGCTGTCAGCCGAGGGCCTCTCCCAGTTCCTTCAGGCCACCCGTACTCCTTCTCAAGAGGCCCCTTCCATCTTCAAGTCAGCAACAGTTTTTAACTCCCCATGAGATCTCTGAATCTCTCTGACCTCCTCTTCTTCCACTAGAGAACTCTCTGCTCATCGTCTCCCTGTTTTAAAATCAGCTGTGCCATCGACGAGAACCTAAATCGTGAGAGTGATGGCTCATTATATTCACAGATTCTGGCAATTTAGTGCAGGACATCTTTGGGGACTATTTAGAGAATTCTGCCTTCTACACATCGGAACCACAAGGAAAACAGTCAAAAACTAACTGGTAGACAAAGACTCAGCCTAGGTGTACATAGCACAAACTGAAGTGAATTATAGGTGCTAACTAGCCTCACTTCACCAGCACAGCAAGAAAACAGCATCTAGTTGTCAACTTCCTTCTGGATAAGTTCTGAGAGAAAATAGCGACTGCGATAATAGCTTGCAGAGCTTGAAAACAGTGAGATGTTACGGTCTCCTAATGAGCTCCTTCGTAACAGGCCGTCGTGCATGAAGTGTCTGTCCCACACTAGCTGTTGCTTACAAGGTTTTATTTGGCGACCCTGAAGTATGAGTCATTATAAGTGACTTTTCCCGATAATTTTAGCTAATAACTGTACCTCTTTAAGAATCATTTAAAAAAATTTAAGACCATTTTTGAAGGGGTAAAATGAATGCCTTCAGTGCAAGTTTTTCTTTAAGAATATTTAGTTTCCTTTCCTGTTTTCTTAAACAGGGGATTCTGGAAAAACATTTCAACTTTTTCTCTGATGATAACTGTAAATATTAAAATTTATTGAGTATTTTTGGCATCCTGATCATCATTATATCCATATCATAATTATAATACTTATCGTTATACCGGCGGGGGTGACATTCTTAGTTTGTTCTCTATTTCTTTGGCAGAATTTGAGCCGTTATTTCATTTTGGTCATTGCTTCTGCTTATAATGACATCTTCACTATACCATTTCTGATTTATTTCTCAAACAATGGGCTGGAAAACTAGGTAACAAAGTTTGTAAGAACTGTGTGTTAACTGACAGTCACCAAGCCTGAGTGAGCGCCTACAAAGCCGATGTAAAAGGGTTTTGCAATGGCTGTTCTTGTGCTTAAATAATTTTTCACTTACTTTTAGCTTCCTGTATGTCACCAGAAAAATACGTAACTTGCCAATAACAGGAGTATTATTTATTGCTATTAGATAGCCAATAAACTCAATAAATATTTAATTAATGCCTATTATGGTCTCAGAACACATCATTGTGTTTACTAATTGCTTTTTAGATGTATGTCTTTTATTCTTATTTAAATATAAGTAACAGGAGCAGGAGTTATATTTTATAGGATCTTTAACTATAATTGATTTGTTAATGTGACAGATAAGGCACAGACCTAAGTAAATAGCAGTACTGAATATAAGGAAATTACTTTCCAGCTCATCTCATCAGAAATAAATATTATTGGTATTAATACAAGAGAGGTAAATTCTATTTTACTAGTAAAAACCAAAAATCCATACATTTTTCTCCTTTAATAGCTGTCATTGTTTTCAGTTTCACTAACCCTATACGTAACTCTATAAACTGATTTTTCCTGTTTTGTTTCTTTGTCTGAGTTACTCTGCCGTGTGAATCTGTCCACATTAGGAGCACGTGAAGTTTTTACAACACAGCCTATAATTTCTTCTAATTTCCTGTATACCTTGTATTCATTCATTTTCATTTACGCACAGATGTTTGTTTAGTGTCTCCTGTGTTCTAGGTACTAGTGACCAAGCAGTAAACATCACAGAGTTCCTGCCGTCTCCATACACATATTCCTCTGCATTGTCCCAGATCTTCAGGGTCAACCTCAGCTTAAACTTAATCCTCTGCCTGGCACCCATCTTGCATTCTCAGCCTAGTTTCTCAGCCTGTTTGTCTCCACTCCTTTTCAGCTGTCACGCAACAAGGAAGCCAGTCGTATCTGGTGATAGCCTATCATCCTTTGCTGACTGGATGGGCGCCAGGCCTGAATGTTTTATGTCCTCCCCAAAATTCACTTGTTGAAATCCTAACCTCTGATGTGGTGGTACTAGGAGACGGGGCTTGGGGAGGTGCTTGGGTCATGAGGGTGGAGCTCTCCTGAGTGGGATAAGTGCCTTATAAAAGAGACTCCAGAGAGCTCCTCAGCCCCTTCCGCGATGTGAGGACACAGTGAAAAGGCTATGAACCAGGAAGAGAGCTCCCACTAGAACGTGACCGTGAGGTGCCTTGATCATGGATTTCCCACCACCAGAACTGTGAGAAACAAATTTCTGTTGTTGATAAGCTCTCCAGTCTGTGGTATTTTGTTATAGCAGCCTGAACGGACCAAGACAGCTGGTCATGCTGGTAATCGGAGACAAACAAGGGAGCGAGAAGATGCCACCTAAACTCATCTCTATGAAACATTTAGCATAGTGTTGGCAAAAGTGCCGAAGCTCTATCCAATATTCACTGTTCAGATGTATAAAAAAATCACAGGCAGTGAGCAGTGCCGTCTAGACTTTGCACGACTCCAGGCTGTTTTGCAGCCGCAGGAGATTACCAAGCCACTGGTGCATGACGTGCCCAGCTCAGACAGGACACAAGAGTGCTTAAAAACAAGGAATTCTCTCCCTGCCACCCCGCAAAAAAATGCTTAAGAAACTCCCGCTCTCTTCTATTCTCTGATTTCTAGAATTAGAACCTTCTTTATTGAAGCGTGCTCATGACAATGTCTTGTGCTTAGTTTATGCCTAGTAAAGCTGACTCAAGTTTTGATCATGAATAATGGTAGAGGGATAGTAGGAGGGGCCTGGAGTAGGACAGTATTTTGTTTAAATATGTCTGGTTTTCCTATAAAAATTGCCTATAATTTACACTATATTTAATCAGGGAAAATACTGAATCCACACAAAATAATGCTTCTGGTGAAGCCATGAAAATATGTCATATTCCTAAGAAGAGAATCCCACCTCAAAACCAGTTAAAAAAAATTTCAAGAGTACTAGTTTGATTTATAATCAGTTACCCTTAGGTCAGAAACTTTCCTTACTGTATATTACTAAATTACTAACTTAACAATTAGATACTATTATCAGCTTTGCATTTATTTTTTGCTGTGAAAAATTTCAAAGATACATACAGTTAATGAGAAAAGTATATACCCACCAACAGAATCAACAATCACAAAATTTGACATACCTGTTTAGCTATTTTTTAAAGACACAGTCTTAGCAGCTGGTGGTCATTGGGATCATTTATCACGATTAACATGTGTTTTTACGTGTCGCCACTAAAATACATTTATCACCATTAAAATACATTTTTAAATGCAATGAATATTGGTTTTAAGTGCCAAATTTCAATTTGGTGGTAAATGTTTAATTAACATTATTAAAAATGATGATCTCTTAGAAGGACTAGACGGATTTACAACTAGAATATACAACTATGTACTAGGGCTTTGGTGAGGGAAAAAAAGAGAGAGAGGAGAAGATTGGCAACAGATGTTGGCTCAGGGCAAATCTTTCCCAGCAAAACCCCCCCCCCCAAAAAAACCAGGGGCGGTGATGTCAGCAGGGGTAGAGGCAAAGAAAAGAGCAAAAAAATGATGACGTCAGTATAGATAAACTTCCATCACAAAAAACTTGAAGGAGAAATGTACTCTGTTTTTCTGTATGACAAATATTGCTTGAAATAAGGGGGCTTTCGACTGAAACATGAAAACCTTTAAGTTACATCCACTTTTTGGGGGGGCCATCATAATAGATACCTCACATTTTTGCACATATATGACGTGCCGAGCACTGTACTAAGAGCTTTCCATGCACCCGCTCTTCAGACAGTCGGATGAGGCGTTTCTGTTACCTCCGTTTTACAGATTAGCACACTGAGGCTGGGAGAGAGGAACACAGTGAACTGTCCGGAGTCATCCAACAAGCATTAGGCGGAGGCGTATCTGTTAAAGTTATATTTGCTTTCTATAAAAGATGTGTCAAAGGATTAAAAAACTTTTTATCCTTACCACTATTAATCAGTAAATGGTAGAATAAATGCAACATTTTATACATTCTTTAAATTTAAAAACTTCTGCATAAACAGACAGAAAGACTGAACCCTGGTGGGAGATGCAATAGCAAGAGGAGAGGTAATCGAAGCCGGCACAGCTCCCAGGAGCTCGGGGTAAGGAGCAGGGCAGCCTCTCCGAGACACAAACAAAACCCGGGAATTCGGGGGAGGTTTACTAAAGTGCCTTGGGTTTCAAGTCCACGTTTTGCAGTTTTTGTATACAACAAAGAAACATTTTATCTTATAGGCTTTATTTTTTAAATTGATAATTTATAAAGTTGGTCTATAAACAAGAAAAATAGTGACTTACGTGTCAACTGAAATGAGTTTCTTTTCCCCACTGTCAGAGGCATAGTTCCAAGTTGTTTCAATAATTCCAATGTAATAATGCTTATTTTTCGCCCAGGCTGAGTTACAACATAAAAGAAAAATACCAAGCAAAAAAGTCTTCATTTTTTTTTTCCTCTTGGAGCCTTAGAAGCAATGGAATGAAATCAGAAGCAGGCAATTTTATAAATAAGGCTTTCTTCCTTTATTTGCTTGATTGACAAATTTAATGTTTCGCAAGAATAAATTGTTTCCTTGAAGTAAATAACATTTTCCACTCCGGTTCTGTTCTCGTAAACCCAGAAAAAGACTAGTTTTCGCTTGCCAGGCTTCTCCGATTACAAATAAAAAGTCAACAGTTATTGTTGGAGGCACTAGAGTGTGCATAACTCTGTGCCTTCGTCCATTCATTGTACAAATTCCAGGAGGGCAGAGATCAGCCCTAAATGCTTTCTTTGTTTCTCCCACAATATGCCACAGCAGAGTGCCCTGCACACAGTGAACTGTAATAAATCAGAATGAAGATTATGCAAAATGAATAAAAACTTGTAGCTCTTTACTTTTGAAAAGCCTAAAAATACTTAATTGCAACTTTAAGATGCAACACGTGATATTTAGCATGCCAAACACAAGTACACCAAAATAAAAATTTTATTTTGAAGGATTTATCTATTTTGTAAGCTCTGAACATATCTGCATAGAAAATTTACCAGATTATTCTGGATTGCTGTATGTAAATAACTAGCAGAGCATAATAGGGGTTGATAATTCGTTTTATTTTTATTCTTATTGAGGTAACATTGGTTTATAAAATCATAGAGATTTCAGGTGTACATCATTATAATTCATCATCTGGATACATTACATTGTATTCACCACCCACTCTAGTTTCCATGCATCACTTACCAATACCCCTTTACCCATTTTGCCTTCTGTCAGCCACCCCACTTCTCCTGGTAATCACCAATCTGTTATATGTGTTTATATGTGTGCTCGTTCTTGTTGTTTTTGATCTTCCACATCTGAGTGAAATCATACAGCATTTTTCTTTCTCCATCTAAATTATTTCACTTAGCATAATACCCTCGTGTTCCATCCATGTTATCATGAATGGCAAGATTTCATCTTTTTTATAGTTGAGTAGTATTCCGTTGTAAATACACGCCACATCTTCCTCATCCGTACATCCATTGATGGTAACTTAGGTTGATTCCATGTCTTAGCTATTGTAAATAATGCTGAAATGAACATAGAGGTGCATATGTCTTTTCAAATTAATGTTTTTGTATTCTTTGGATAAGTACCCAGAATAGCTAAATCATATGGTAGCTCTATTTTTAATTATTTTAGCAACCTCCATACTGTTTTCCATAGCAGCTGTATCAATTTGCATTCCCACCAGCAGTGTACAAGGGTCCCCTTTTCTCCACAGCCTCTCCATTACTTATTTCTCGTTTTTTTTTAATAATATCCATTCTGCCAGGCATGAGGTGATATCTCATTGTAGTTTTGGTTTGCATTTCCCTAATAATTAGTGATGTTGAACATCTTATCATGTGCCTGTTGGCCACTTGTAAATTTTCTTTGGAAAAATGTCTGTTCAGATTCTCTGTCCCTCTTTTACTTGTTTTTTTTTTGTCATTGTCGTTAGTTTATGAATTCTTTATGTATTTTGGATATTAACCTTGTATTGAATGTGTAACCATACATGCAAATATCTTCTCCCATTCATTAATTTGTCTTTTCATTTTGTTGATGGTTTCTTTTGCTGTGCAGAAGGTTTTTAGTTTGATGTAGTCCCATTTGTTTACTTTTGCGTTTGTGTCCCTTGCCTGAGGAGACATGTTCAAAAAGATACTGCTGGGGCCGGCCCATGGTGCAGTGGTTAAGTTTGGTGCACTCCGCTTTGGCAGCCCAGGTCCACAGGTTCGGATCCTGGGCATGGACCTACACCACTTCTCAGCCATGCTGTGGTGGTGACCTACATATAAAAAAATAGTAGAGGAAGATGGGCACAGGTGTTAGCCCAGGGCTAATCTTCCTCAAGCAAAGAAAAAACAAGAGGAAGATTAACAACGGACGTTAGTTCAGCGCAAATCTTCCTCAGCAAAATAAGAAAAAGAAAAAAAAGATGCTGCTAAGACTGCTGTCAAAGAGCATACTGCGTATGTTTTCTTCTTGGAGTTTTATGGTTTCAGGCCTTATATTCAAGTTTTAAGCCATTTTGAGTTAATTTTTATTTATGGTATAAGATAACGGTTTAGTTTCATTCTTTTGCGTGTAGCTGTCCAATTTTCCCAACACCATTTATTGAAGAGACTTTCCTTTCTCGATAATTATGTTTTAATCATCAAAGAAATTGGACATAAATAAAACTGTCTTCAAAGGCAAAGGTTGGTCTTAGTGAACAGAAAGTGCCCTAGTTGTTGATCTGGGATTTCTCTCTTTGATGTGGATGTGAATTTTAGGGTAAAATGTTATTTATTAAAACCTTGTCTTTAGTCACGACGTAGCTTTTTAGAGCGGAAGAAAACCTGATGATAATGGTGCACGTTTTGTGCTAATGTAACCTTTTTCTCTAGAATACCTGAACACATTCTGTAAGTATTTGCCGAAAGTAGTGTATGGTCCAGGAGCAGGCACCCTGCCCTTGAGCAGCCCATTCACTCAGTGAGCACTGCTGAGAGAGCCCAAGCGTGCCAGCCCCTGTTCTCGCACTTGGGGACACAGCAGTGGACAAAGCAGACAGGAAGCCTGCCTTCCTCAGCTCCCAGGCCACGGGGGAGAGACCAACGATAGACGACGAAGCGCGAAGTACGCAGTGTTAGCAGTGTGCCGCGGGGAAACGTCAGCCGGGAAGGACACTAATGAGTCCCCCGGAAACTGCAGCAGGAAGATCTGAACCTGACGGCGCCACAACCTAACCCCTGCCTCAGTTTCCTCATCCGTAAAATCTCAGTCTCAGAGGGCTGCTGTCCAGCCTAATGAAATGGTCCATGTTAAGGCACATAGGGGAGACGCTCTTCTCACCAGCTGGTAATGATCTTTACTAATTGTCCTGCTACAGAAAATTGACAGCTACAGCCCCCAGGACGTCCCAAGAACTTCTCGAGCCTTCTTAAATGACTGTGCCCTCACGCCCACTGAGAGGACCTGTGTGGGGCTAATATCTTGCCCAGACTCCACGGGCCAAACACTGTGCCAGGGCAAGGTGCTGCTCCTTTTAAAAATTGGTGTCCAGAGGGCTCCTTTTCCCAAATGGTCCCCACAGAGGAGCATCTTTGAGCAGCCCGTTCTCCCAGAGGGGAGCTTTTGTTCAAACTGGCAGGAAGCCACTATGCGAGCCAGTAGCTTTCCTGGCATTTCCTTCTTTCTCATTCCCTACTCCATGCTCCTACTGAGCCCTGTGGGGTGGAAGGACAGTGATCAGAGCACAGGACCATTCCCTGGAGTCACTTCTTCCAGCAAATTCTATCCCAAAACACTGCTCAGAGAGTTACTGAGCTGAGGGCTCCAGGACGTACTTGTAGCGCCCCTCACTCTGGCGGCGAAATGAAATGGTTAAACGGGAACACCCCCGACCAGCACGTGGGAATGCTTTGTGGTGTAACGCAGACAGGGTCAAGAGGTCCATATTTCTGTGCTGTTTGGTGAGAGTCAGTCCTCCCATGAAAGGGCATGTAGCTGCTGAGCGGCAGGAAGTCGGGAGAAGGCTCTGAGCCTTAGGACAGTCTAAACAAGAGGGAGAAGCCACTGGGGGCTAATAAGTGGCCAGCCATTGACAGAGTTGCTTAACACTGGGAATTTCACTACAGTGACTCCAGAGTTGGTTTATAAAAGTGGGCTTTGAATAATGTTGCAACTGAGAATTTCCACACTCGAGAAATGCATTATGACAGCATAGACGGGTGTCATACGTCATGCGAAGCAGCGGGCCCACCAGCAAAGGCTCAGCAGACTTAGAGCATTGCAAGAAAGAGGAGAAGAGAGGACTCTAGACAGGAACAAGCAGGCTGTCCTCCAGCTGTGCCTGTCAGAAGGTTTTTATCTCAGAACCTCAGGCTATGCTTTTGTAGTTCGTTATAAATAATTACCGTATGCCTACGTTTGCTGTTTAGTAGCCTGAGTAGAGTTACGTGGCACAAGTTTTAATAATTTTCCTCAATTTCTTTTCTTGTCATCTTAAAGATTTCTGGACGAGATGAGTCTCGCCTGCATTTAGCAGTCAAGATTCTGGGGCTGCTGATGGCTAAAATCAAGGAAGCAGTCTTCACAGAACATCACTTCGGCTTATTTCTGTCTGGCAAGATGCAGTCTCTTCTTGCTCTACCACTCCTGCTTCTACCCTCTAGTTTCTTTCTCATCGATCTTGTCTAGAACTGGCTCTTACCTTCCACTCCATGACATCACAATTACTAAGAAACGAACCGCCAAGGACAGCCCCTCACCTTGCAACAGCAGGAGACGCTAACTATAAAATAGCAGGTCATTTCTGTCCATGACCAGTCAGACTGCCCTGCGCTGTGCTTTTTACAGGAAATTGTGTAACTCTGGAATTTCGTCAGCGAGTGTGGTCACGTACAGCGCGTTGATGCTGAGCGCCCTGCCTGGAGCCAGCGCCCTGTGAGTCTGGCTGACCCTCTTCTCCTCTGTTGGTCAGTCCATGGCTGTTCAGGGGATGATCGTGCGGATAGCTCTTTGGTCACTCCATCCTCTTTGGCTGCCCATCAGTGGGTCAGGGGCCTGTTCTTCCTCTCCTGGAGTGTGGAGGGGTCACAGGCAGGGAAAGAGAGGAAGCCCAGCCTCTAATCCAGCGAAAGCTGTGATGGTGTCGGTGTCTACAGTACTATGGGAAATGGGAATTTTTTTTTAATGGCAAAAGGATTTCAATTACTCCTTCATTCTTGTTCTCTACTACCTTGAATGATGTAGAAATCAAAGCATATGATTTAACAGTGAAAGAGGACCACAACACTAGAATTATTTTTATGAAAGATTAAGGAATAGGTTATTCGCAAGGCTTGACTATATTTGAACTTCAATGTGTGACTTTCTTGAAATGTCGTCCTCCCTTGCTGTACCCTATCTCATTCCTTCTTGCCTCTATTCTGTGCTGGGGGAATACACTCTGCATGACGCTTAAAACATTGCTTTGTGCCCGGGTCTTAATTTATAAAAGGTGACTGAGTGATGGCATAAAGAGGCCAATGCCATTGAAGGAAAAGTTTATTGCTACTCACAGTTCCCCTAGAAATGAGAGGCACACATCACGCAGGGCCACATGGGGAGGTCCCCAAGTTCTTCGGCAGGCAGAACCAGGGG